CCACAAGGAATTTGGAAAGTGCTTCGATAGAGCAGCAGAGAGGCTACCTACTCCAATCTGAGAGTGCTCCTTAGTATCCAACAATCTACTCCATAGGCTTTCCTCTGGGATCCCAAGAAAAAAAACAACTTACTGGTAAAAGGTCACACACATACACACTTTCAGCCATGGGAGACAGGTTACAGCTGTGACAAAACCAGTTCTTAATAATACTCCTATTTAGGGCCGGGCGTTGGTGGTGCATTAAATCCTTAAATCCCAGCACTCTGGAGGCAGAGGCAGATGCATCTCTGTGAGTTCAAGGCCAGCCTGGTCTCCAGAGCAAGTGTCAGAATAGGCTCCAGTGGGTCACTGGAGGTTACCCTAATTCCCGGGAATGCCAAGGAGTTGCACTTTTTCTGGATCCCTTACTTTCCTCTTTCTCCCTGATTGACCAAAGGGCTAAGAATGTATACAACTGAGCGTCTGTGTTAAGGAGAACATTTCTTTGTATTAGAGCTTAATATTTTTCTTCTGATTACAAGGAATTCTCAATGTCTACAATTGTTCAGAATTAATACTCTCCCTGAATCCCCAATCTCTAGTCCAGGTTGGCCTGGAACTTTCTATTCTGAGCCTCCTTAGTGCTGGGATTACAGGTTTGTGCATCCAGCCAGGTCTTCAGAACTCCTTGAAGTTCAGAGGTTTTACAAATCCACTATTTCTTTATGCTAGTTCTTGCATGCTCACACACCAGGAGTCTTGCTCTCCTCCCATGTAGATGCTTTAGCATGTTGCATCGAAGGAGGGATTTCACAGCCTTCCCTGCCTTTAAGAAGACATTGCCTTCAAAGTGTAGCACCACCAGCTCAGGCCATCTCTCAGTGTCAAAGTTCAAAATGGACAGTAGCACCTAGGGTCTAACCACTAGAATTTTTCAAGCTATAAGGGTTACACTGTTCAATCCACCATTTTATATAACACTTTCAACTGCCTAGTGACACAAAGTCATTAATCCTCTTTTTATTTAATAAAATGTGCCTTGGAGTCAGAAAGAGGCTTAGCAGATGATTAATTAGGAAGTGGGAAATTGGAGGCACACCCTAGGCCATTCCCAAATAAGGCTTCGATCATTCCATGTTTCTGTCTTCTCCTGAAATTCCTTTTAAAGATCTAATAAAGGAGATCAGCTGTGGCAGCATTTCTTTTTGGTGTAACTATACAGTGGACTTGACTGCATTCTGATCCTCACATAACTGGACCTTTGCATGGCTCTACTTCTGCCCACAGAATAGCTCAAAAGATGACGCTCCCAGGACCCAGCTGCACCTCTATGTTTTCCTACTCTAGCAGCCTTAGGCACTGAAGTCCCTAAACAGATAATGGGACGAGGGGATGGGCAAGGGGATCATTTCTGTTATCCTTTGATGACTGATGATGACCCAAGAAATTGCTGAAGAGTAAAAAAAATAAAAAGTTAAAAAAAAAAACAAATAACATCCCCAGAATTTAGGATTCTGGTGTGGATTTAGCCCATTGGGTTCTCCTTCCTCTCTTTCAAGCTTAACTTGGCCATGGGATCGAAAGCCAAGATCATCAAACATGAACTAATATTTTTCTTTGATTTAAGGGGCCAGGAACAGAGCTTGCCTATCTCTCTACCCACATCAGCTTATGGTCTCTTCACCCAGCATAGAGGGAGCACAGCAAGCTGCCCAAGGGCCAATTTGTTTCTTAGAAGAGTCCCAGTGCACACAAGAGAGAGGCAATTAGGCCTCCCCAGGGCATCCCTAGACATACTTCTAAAGACTTTACTTTGGCAGCAGAGACCAGAAACCGATCAGACAGAATCATCCTAGCCTCTGTAATGTGGCTTGTTGAGTTAAGGCCAAGTTAATATTTAAGGGACTACAGAACGCTGGCAGAACAGCCTGTAAATTACATCTGGAGTTAAAAGTGACAAATGGAAAAGAAATAATGAGCCCTCACCCCCCACCCCCGCAAGAGACCAGCCCATTTGCCCCCATCCCAGAAAAACACGCATAGGATGAGTGGCCTGCCAGCTCACTCATGTTCAGGCTTGTGTATTTCCGCTTTGGAAAGAAGGTGGGGGTGGGGTAGGGGTTGTCTATCTGGAAAGGGGCTTTGTTTTTGAAAACAAGCATTTTTCTCTCCCTCTTTTTATATTTTAAAAGAAAGAGGAAGTTAAGGAGCAAGGAATGATATTTTAAGCTCAATCATTTTAGCTACTCTTTCCAGGCCTTCTAACTTACTAGAATCAAAACCTGCCTAGCTCCCTAGTGAAATTGGGCATGTCCAGGTAGAGTGGTGGCCAGTGACAAAAGGTTTTCTTTAACCCATCTTAAGGCTTTGGTAGAGTCATGGCTATTCATTACCCCCAACACCACCACTCCCCCTTAACTCCTGTGTAGTCCAAGTCTGAAAATCCTCAAACCAGGGAAGTCGTGTGTAATGAAAAGCCTGTGTGGCCACAGCTCAGCCCATTAGCAGTACTCATCAGCCTCATTTCTGCACACCATTTCTTCTGTCAGAGATTTTTTATCATTGATTCCTGACTCTCACTTGGTCCCTTCCACAGTCCTGGCTGTGCTCCCTCTGAGCTAGGTGACAAAATATAAAATTGCAGAAGTGGAGGACTTTTGCTATCACTCTTACATTCTGTAACTCTTTGCACTTCACATGTAACAGATAATGCTATGCTTCTCTCCACTGGGATGAGTCAGTAGAAGCTGCCCAGGCCTACGGCGTATCTGGTCGACCTGAGGGGATGTGGGCAGCCTGACTTCAGACCCCAGGCATTCCTGGTTCTCTTTCTCCACTAACCTTCTAGGTTGCTATGTGTGCCCTGCATGTGAAGACATGAGGGAGCAAAGCAGTGTTGCCAAGTAGCCAGGTATAATTTTTTAAATGTACAGAATATCTAGTTGAATTTCAGATAAAAAATAATGGTGCTTTTACTATAATAATTTTAATATAATGAAATACATTTTAGTAATAATGTACTAAAGTATAGACGAGTACTACTACTAATAAAATACATGTATATATAAATAAACATGTCATAAAACATTAAAAATACTTAATACTTTCATTTTAGAATATGTATGAATATTTAATGTAATCAATATTTTAATAATAAATACACTTAAAATAATTGGTGGATATCTGAAATTCTTATTTGAAAATGATGTTTTGTATTTTACTGGCAACCCTGCCCCAGAGGTATATGATATGTGCCTCTTGGGGTTAATTTATAGTTACAAGTTAATTTATAGTTACAAGGATAATTTATAGTTACAAGTCTTAGCCTTTTAGACTCTCTTGAGCCTAAAGTCTCCTTTGGTGATTATTGAACCTTGGGGAAGAGGTGTGTGTGTGTGTAAACCCTCTGACTTTGTTCTCAAGTTATTCACTGTTATTGGCATGGGACTGTAGGCTGGAAACTGATAACGAAACATGGAGAGCTGCAGACTGATGCTGACTCTAGGCAGTTGGTATTGGAAGCATATAGAATGGTAGGACACCCTGTTGGTGATGGAGAATTAGATTGTATGAGAAAAGGATACATATTTTATATCAGAAGTATGGAAACTAACACCAGCTTGTTTTACTCTGGTGAGTATATTAATTAATAGAAACATGTTTTAATCAATAATTATTGTTAAGTAACTCAAACTAAAGTCGCTCAAGCTGGAGAGATGGCTCAGTAGTTAAAGGAATGTAATGTTCTTGCAGAGGACCAAGACTCAATCCCCAGCACCTACATAGTGGCTCACAACTGCCTGTCACTCCAGTTCCAGAGGATCCAGTTCCCTCTTCTGACTGTTCTGGGCTCCTGCACATATGTGCTACAAATACAGACACTGGGGCACAAATGCATATGCATAAAATAAATAAATGTTTTCAAAGATTGAAGTAACCGTAGGTCATCTGAATATTAGAATGCAGATAAGAGATGGAAGTGCATTCTGTCTTCCCCACTGTCATCACTTCCAGCTCAGTGAGTGTCACAGAGCAGTTCTTTTCTATGGCTTGTGTGCAGCTCTTAATCCTGTCTAGGGAACTCTTGGCTCTCAGAGGGCCTCAATTAATACCACATTTTGACTTCTGACTTAAAAGAAAAAAAGTTTAATACCCACAGAGTGTTTCATAAACTCTCATAAAATATATTTAGAGAAATGGCTCAGCAATTAACATCCCTTGCTGCTTTTCTAGAGGGCCTTAAGTTAGGTTCCCACAAACCCCCTGTACTTCTTTCTGGCCTCCACAGGCACCCATACACACATACATGCACATATCCATATAAATAAAAATGCAAATAAATCTTTCTCCCATATCTTAAAATTGAGAAGACAGGACTGGGGAGATGGCTGAGGGTTTAAGAGTTCTTGTTGCTCTTCGAGGGGTCCTGAGTGAAATTCCTAGCAACCACACGGTGGCTCACAACCATCTATAATGGATCCGATGTCGTATTCTGGCATGCAGACATACATGAAGACAGAACACACATATGCATAAAATACATAAATAAAATTGAGAAGACATGCTTTCAGAAGTCCTTCTGAAAAGGAAGGACTTACAATGATTTCCCTAAAATTAACAAAACCATGAGTTTGCAGAAACTAACAACGAGTTCTATCAGCAAATATATCAGCAAATGTGCATGTGCTGCCACGTGTATGGTGTGCTTTTTGCCATACTTTTAGAGTTTCTAAAGAGGAACATAATACGTGCAAGCACAAACTTCTTTGTTCTCCAAGCTCCTGGAAAGCATTTCATATACAGAGTTGGCATGATCACCAGTGTTTCTAACCTTCTGGCAAAATGACATGTAGAGAAGGAATATCAGAACTCTGTGTCTAAATAGTCAGTAAAGGTTTTCTACACAACTAGCCAGAAAATTATCCAGCAGAGTTTTCATTTCCTGATGAAGGGTGGTGGAATAAAGTCTCTCTGTTTCAAAGGTATAGATGACAAGCGGCTCATGGTCTCTGTTCTTTTAGGAGAAAAACTAGTACTGAAGTTGGTGTTCCTGAGAAAGTGGGAGGAGCCAAGACCAAGGAGCCTGAAAGTGAAGACCATGAAAAACTCCAAGTTAAAATCCAAGCCTTTGAAGACAAAATAAATAGTGAGAGCAATACCCCTGCTTCTGTCCGGAGAAACAGCTTAGACCATGTCTCTAAAGAAGAACAAAGAAACATTAGATTTAGCAGGTATAATTTTTTCAGAAATCATTTTGAAGTATGAACTTATATTTGCTATTGCTTCTGTTGTCATGGTGCTTTGGAGTGTTTTATGTTGTGCTGTTTTCTTTTTAACCCATGGCTTCCCAAAGTTCTATCCTTTAATTAATTACATATTACCCATAGTGCTCTCATTATTCAAGAAACCTTACTTAGGTTACTTAGGGCAGTGGTTCTCAGCCTTCCTAATGCTGTGACCCCTTAATTCCTAATGCTGTGACCCTCGTGTTGTGGTGACCCCCAACCATAAGTCATTTTCATTATTACTTCATAACTATAATTTTGCTACTGTTGTGAATTGTGATGTAAATATATGATATGTGACCCCAAAAGGATCAAGACCCACGAGTTGAGAACCACTGACATGGGGAATATAAATAGAAGGCAAACACCTTTTGAAAATAAGCATGCTTATTTTGAGAATGGCTGCCAGTTGCATCCCTTACTCTAGTGAATAATCAGAGGCAAAAGCAAGAAAGAATAAAATTTCTATGTCTACCATTTTACAGTCTCCTTTGCTATGAAACTGATTTACATCTTCTTTTGGAGGTACCTAAGCAGTCTCTTCTTTCTTCTTGGGGAGCGGGGGGCTGAGGATAAAACCCACAGCCTTATGCATGTCAAGCATGCACTATGCCACTGAACTGCAACCCCGGCCCTATGTTTTCAGAGTGTCATTCGTCACACAGCTTGGCGGTCCTCTTGTTATCTGGTCTATTAATAGTGTCTCACCCTGGAAGAAGTAAAGTTTTGTCCCAGGGAGACTGTTTTTCCCTTGCCAGGGTTTGAGAGCTTCCTCAATTCTTCTAACCCTTCATTATAGGTCCAGGAGTTTGGCTTTGAATACTGTGCTCACAACTGGTATGAGAGCAGAAGATGAGGATGCTGAAGAAAGAGCAGGAGTACATGCCAGCATCTCTCTTTCAGAAATAGACCCACTTATCCATGGAATTGGCAAGTTGCCTCTCAAGATAGATACCCATGGATCACAGCTGAGAAATTCCTCAGCCTCACATCCAAGTATTATACATAGAGAACCAGAAAATATGCCCAAAACTGTTAAAGAAAACATCCAGGAAGAAATTCCAGAGACAGCCACAAGTCCTGTTGAATACCAAGATAAGCTCTACTTGCATTTAAAAGAAAACTTCAGTAAAGTGAAGGCTTATGCCATGGAAATCACTAAGAAGGTCCCAGTCCCAGACCAGTGCACCATTGAAGGTAAGCTCTTTGAACTTCCCACACTCGAAATTTCAGATCTCAGTGACAAAGACAAAACTCTCAAAATGCCTAAATACTTGTTAACGCTGAACGCAATGTGGAGCCAGATCTGGATTGGTAACAGATAGTTTATTAAGAAATAGTACTCACGCAGATCCACTTAACCAGGCCGCAGGGAGCGAGAGAAGGGACCCTGCATGAGCGCCCCTAACTACCTAAACTTTTCCCGCATCACTCTGACCACGCCCAAGCTGGCATGGTCAGTGGTACCTCTAATCATGCTTTCTCCCTACAACTCGTACCCTTTTATGGACCTTTTGCAAAATAGATCATTTGAAAATAATCTTCTAGTATCTTTGTTTCTTCTCTTTGAGCAAAGTTGACCCATCTGTTGACTTTCGTCTTCTTAGATGCTTCCAAGTCTCTTGAGTTTTGTAAAACTTTGTATTGCTTTGTTTCCCATTCCTAGTGTACCGAAAGGCAAACACAGTGGCCTTGCAGCAGGCTCTAGGGTCAGGGCATCCAGGGAATGCTTCCAGCCATGTAATCAAACAGGGAAGCTATGCATCTCACTGACCATGAGAAATTGTCCTTATTCTATTGATATGTGTCCTGCTCTGGCCCCTAAGTGGCTCAAGATCTAAGTGACAAGCACAGTCCCTAATTTCCTAGATACTAGAGTACAGACAGTCTATAGCAAAGCCATGCCAGGAGGTAGTACAACTAACATGCCAGTGAAAATGGGAGACACTGGAGCAACAAAGGACAAAGTAAAGACAGATTGTCAGGGGCTAGACCACCCACAGAAACACAGTTTAAAGTGTCACAAAAGACAGTCAAGTTGAAGTCATGACAGGACCAGTCACAGTGTCTTGCCACACTGCAAAGGATCCTTGGTCCAAATAAATAATCACTGCATATTGCATATTTCTCTACTTATAATTTGGACATTTTGATCATCACAGTTTTTGCATTATGTTAATCTCTTCAATATTATTTAAAAGAATCAATAATTCTCCCGACACTTACATTTTATGTCTTTACCCTGACTCTGGGAAAAGAAAGACCATTAGAGACACAAGTGCAGTTATACCAGAGCAGCAAGGCTTGGGTGGCACTGTTGGGCTCTTACAGCTTTCCTCCAGCAATCCTCAGACAACAGACACCTTCTCTTGGGAGGTAAAGTGAGGTGTCAAATGTCATCTTCGCACAGGAAAAAAAGTCAGGCAGCCCAGCCCCCTACAGAATCAACAGAAAGGTGGGGATCCCTTGAGGGTCCACTTCCCAATACTCTACTTTTTACCCTGCTTCCTACTTCCAGTCAGAAGAAAGACTTATTCCCTAGTGGTAAAAATGAAAGCAGTGTTGCTTACATTCAAATATATTCTGTATGGTGAAGTACACAAGGTTGTGGGGATAGTTAAACACATTTCACTTAATCGAATAATCTTTCTCTCTCTCTCTCTCTCTCTCTCTCTCTCTCTCTCTCTCTGTGTGTGTGTGTGTGTGTGTGTGTGTGTGTGTGTACTTCAAATTTGTCACAGAATTACTTTAAACATCTAGTTATAAAGAATTATTTCAGGAGTTAAAATTACCTTTAGACGAAACTAAATGATCGGGGTTGGTTTGCTTGTTTTCCCAAATGCTGACTGAATCCATTGTCTAAAAAAAGAAAATGATAAAAAGCACAATTACTTTTGATGGTGAAATTTCCAACCAGAGATAACCTAGAACTAAGTGTGTATTTTTTTAAGTTGACATTTGGAATTCATTCATATTTTAGTAATTTCCTGGGAGATTCCTGTATAGAGACATGTTTAAGGGAATATTTATATGGCTCCCTGACAATATATCTACAGATGAAGTACTTGGGCTGATTGCAGGAGACACTGTTGATACTACTTGGGCAAGGCAGTAGACACCAGCTGTCTTCTGGCTGACATGAGTTCACTTGCTTCATGAACTCACCCAGCACAACAGTATCATATCTCTTTCCTTAAAAACTTAGTGAAGGGGGGCTGGAGAGATGGCTCAGAGGTTAAGAGCACTGACTGCTCTTCCAGAGGTCCTGAGTTCAATTCCCAGCAACCACATGGTGGCTCACAACCATCCGTTATGAGATCTGGTGCCCTCTTCTGGTGTGCAAATACACATGGAAGCAAAATGTTGTATACATAATAAATAAATAATAAATAAATAAATAAATAAATAAATACCTTAGTGAAGATTCAGGCTGAGAAATTACGTTAATATCAAGTGAGTTGTTGGGGGTTAAAGAAACATTTAGCCTTTCTGAATCAAATATGCAAAATAATCAAGAGACAAAGAAGAAAAGAAGCGGAAAAAAACTTTCTGCAACATTTAATTAAAGAGACAATCACTAGGAAACAAGAACAGGTAGCATTTTGGAGTGTTATGCAAAGTCTATGTGGCAAAAGCAACAAAACAGCTCTTTAAAGAAACTCTATGGATGTTAGGTTGGGTCGTATGAGAAAAACAGAAAAGACAAGATGCTCAAAGGTTTTGATCTACAAAAACACTCATTTTTGTGTGCTTCAACCTGATACTTCAATAATAAATCATGATAAAATAATAGAAGGCTCATTGAAACTGCAAAAATCAGTATGAGATGACTCAAGGTCACAAAGAGCATTTTTAACCCTGACCTGGGTGACACTGGAGACCAACTACAATGGGAAAGCTAATCTATATAAACCTATCATCATTTCTGAAAAAAAAAAAGTCAAAACCCAGGTTACTGTGGTTGGATCATTTTTGAGCCACAGCGTTCTTGTTATTGGATGAGCCAGTCTCTGATGATTCTTAATGGCCTTATTTCTGCTTACCAGTCACTGAAAGTTGTGTGTCTGTAGGCAAATGTAACCTAATATCACTAGTTGATTATGTTTTCATGCAAAACTTGATTCAGTCAGCTAAGGATATTTTAAAAGTTTGAATCATTGTTTTTCATTAATGTGAGCAAAATAATTGGAGGCCAAAAGCATATACACAGATAATATTAACTAAATCTTTGAAAATCTGGCCCATCTCTGGAGTCCTGCAAAGAATGTGTGAGTTTGTAGGCACCTATCAGTGTTACTTTTGTTTACTTTGAAGTGTTTAAACTCATTTTTAACCTTAGAAGATGGTTCTTCCTCCAGTCAGCCCACATGAGCAGATTTTTTTCTTAAAGAAAGCTAAAATTTACTGTAAAAATCAAGAAATATTTGAGTTCTTGATTACAAATAAGGCCTCCTAACTTAACATTGGCAGGTAGCCCAGTTCACACTCAATATTATGGTCACTGACAGGGTACTGTCAACACTGGTCCCTACACCCTTCCAAGACTATTGCAAAATAGTTTGCATTTTGGTGAATGCAAAGCCAGAGCTAGCATCCCTGAGAAAGAAAAGGATGGAGAAAGATGTATTGACTAAAGCAGGAAAGGGGGATGTAGGAGGAAGAAGCATGAGCTTTTATTAGGGATGGGGCACTGTCTCTATTCATATATGGAAGCACAGTCCTGAGCAGGCTCAATTTCAGGTCATTGTTAAAGGACAGATGACAGGCACATTTTTTGAGCATGCTGAACTCAAGGTCACAAAGCACATTGAGTCTACTGGGCTAAAATTCTGGTCAAGAACATTTTGGGCATACTCAGCTTGCACCATAAAGATGGTGGGCAGTGGATGCCTCTCGGCATGCTGGGTGTTCATCACAGAACTTCAGGCGATGATTGAGATTCATGGTGGAAATTAGAAGCCTGACTGATAGTCTTCTTCTTCAAGGTTCTGGGCTTGCCTAACCCCAAACAGCCTAGCAGTGATAATAGTGTGCATCTAGTTACTGGTTCTGAATGGAGTTTCTCAGGGTTATATTTTTTAATAAATGAGCTGAATTTCAGGATTAAAATCATTTCTCCATCAAGAAAGTTGTAAAATTTGGAACTGGAAAATAACTTGAAAGCTTTTTGCAGAATTTGAGAATGAAAAATAGCCTCATTTCTTTATGAAGCTCCATTGGCCCTTTTTCTAAGACACTCATTAGGTAACACTAATTCCAGTTTCTAGAATTTGTTTTCCTTGGAGCTCTGGGTCTTCTCTCAGATTGTTACTCTCTGTCTCATTTCTCCAAGGAGTGGGTTTTGCCAACATGTGTATGGATTAAAGTCACCCATGATGGTCATGAGAGTCCCAAATGCCATGGCTAGGGAAAGATCAATAGATCTTCTGAAAAAGGTCCTCTACACGTTAGTTCACATCAGATTATTGTCAAGTTCATCATGTCCCAACACAAGAGTAGGCCTAAGTTTCAGACAGGCATATGACTGTAAATCAATCGCTAGGACATTGCACACTTATATCCACACTTACCACACCCCAAATTCCAGTAAAGGATACTAAGTACTATCATTACCTGTTAGCTATGTTTTCAAAGGCCTCTGCTTAAAAAGAAAATTGGGTTTTAAGTACTGAGACATTTTATAATCTTCTTTGCAAAGTCTGTCTTACCTCGGGACGTGAAGTTTATCTACAGGAGAGATGAGCATTAGATCAACTAGGGATTATTATGAAGTCAACTGTGCGAGCACTGGTACTTCCTCTCTAGGCCGCTTGTGTGGAGATCCAGAAAGGTTTGTCTGCCTGTGAGTGAAACCAGACACCCAAAATCTGAAGGGGAAAAAAAAAGCAGGCCTTTTGATAGTGTTCACCTTGGGCATGCCTCTGGTGGATTTGAAGAGACCTTGCTAACACATAATTAAAGGCACAAGCAAGTTTATAAATGAGGCAAAAATGTACAGAAATGTATTTCACACCCCTTACCCTGGAGATAACCCATATTCAAAGAGAAGGTGAGCAGAAACAGCTTGCTATCATGTGCCTCCGTGTCTTAGATATAATCTTCTAAAGGCAGCATCCTAAACTAATCAGTTATGTAATGGCATACTCATTGGCAGTCAGTCTTTGTACGCCTTTTGAAGAGAAGCTTACACTCAGATT